ACATGTCTATTACAATCAAAACCTTAAAAAAAAAAAGATCCAGGGTATCAGCACCTAAAACGTTTGCGCGTTTTTTTGTCAGAAATCAATTCAGACATTCATTGCCTGACGCCACGTGCGTCAGGCAGTATAAGGATTAATATTTCAGGGATCCGAAACTAAGCGATCATTCTTAATGAACTAGATTTTGTGCAAGCTGATATACATCGGAATTTGTTACCTGCATTTAAACAAATACAGTTTGCAGGAGAAAGAATCATATAACTGATGCAAAATAATGATGTGTTTGAACCCCTCAGTTTTTTGCATGCACATGTTTATTCTTTGCGTTTCTTTGTACGGACATGTCCGTGTAACATTTTTTCTGCGTTTCTAAACTACTGGATCAGTCCATTTGCCTTCTACGAAAGGGGTGACACAATCATTTCGCGCCAAATGTCACATGTAAATTATCTTCGCACCTTTTTATTGGGTTGTTCTATTGAATGGGTGTGATACCTTCTATGGAAATAAATAATGTTTATTCTTTTAACACGATTCTTAAGCTCCAGATTTTTTATTAACAGTAAATTTTATCTCATTTTTTAAGAGAACACATTGTATATGGACAGGCAACACTAAAGCAATGGATTTGCTGATTATTCTTACTATTTATCCCATAAGTGGAATAGTCTCATCATAAACAAACTCCCTCCACCTAGTAATTAAATGGGACATCCCTTCTTGATTCAGTCTGTTTTCCACCTAGCCTTTTTTTTCAATATATCATTTATTAATAATGTACGTTACGAGGTTAGGTTTTTAAGAAAGCTTAGAAAGTCAGCGAGTAGCATATTATCTCATGCTTTGTGATGAACAAGGATTTCCTTTTAATACAGTGACAAGAGTGTAGGTCAGTGCCCTTAGAGGAATGGGCTTCACTCCCGTAAGGTTCTAAGTAAAGAATCGGCAAAATGAAGACGACATCATGATCTGTACTGGTTTTGATTTCATAAAAAAGCAGGTTATTATAATTATGAGAAAGGTCTTGAAATCGGTTGAAAAAAAACTTAACAATTTCAAAACTGTATATAAAGATGTATTTTAAACTCATTTATAATACATGTATATGGTAAGACCATCATCGCGTGAGTTTTGTCCGGGGGGGGGGGGGGGGAGGGGGTATTATTAGTATCTTGTTTTGCGCTAGCTATAAAGTGTACAGGTCATTTACTTTGATTTCTAGAGCAGCATTGAAGCATTTTTGTCTCAAACACTTCAAGACAACTTTCCCAGTTAAAACTGTTCATAATTTACTTCGTCGTCTAGTGTGCATGAAGCGCGCCCTCTAGTAAGAGAGTACATGTAATATGAATTTCTTAAGAATCATCTAACTATTTCAGAATTATCAGTGGTGGATCCAGGAATTTCAGAACCGGAGGGTGCAGTAGAAGGCAGGGGGTCTGGGGGCTGTATTGAAACCCCAGTGGGTCCAGGGCAAAGCCCTGATGGGGGTTCGGGGGGCGAAGCTCCCGGAAGCTGACGAATTCTTACAAAAATGAGGTGTTTTTTCCTTGATTTTAGCATAATGAACATATAAGTTCTACATACAAAAAATTCAAACGGGGGGTTGGGGGGGGGGGCGCACGCCAGGCGCGCCGGTGCTTTGATTATAATCTACGCTAGCGCACTTGCAGTTTCATCCCAACGTAACTAGTCAGCCCGTGGGTTAACTAATAAATGACCAAATAGTGGCATGTCTTAGATATTCGTTAATATGTAGTATTTGGTTATGACATTTGAGAAAGTCAATTGTACATCTTGTGTAATGAAGTATCGCAACTATGTCACTCCTTGATGACGGAAAAATCTTGCATATACGTTCCATAGATATTGATTGATTAGTCAGGCAAGCTTTTTGAAAAGCTATTACTTGTAATAATCTTATATACACTAGACAAAATAGCTCACGCACCACCTAAATAAACGGTGCGCAGTGCACGTCGGGAAATTGCTTTTTGGGCAAGAAGGTCCTGTAAGGGTCTTATCATGACACGAAGACATTTCTCAATCCAACAGTTTTGAAAAAGATGGCATATATTATATACTAGTATCGATCAGGCAAATGATCAATTCACAAATAAGAATAACAAGTGGTACGTTAGCAATTTTGTCTAGTGTATAAGTTATAATACTTGTCTTAATTTTAAAGAATAGTTTAAAATTCACTGAAAATTACATGTAGGGTATTAAAAATGTGCAGAAAAGTAAACAAAGTATACAGTTTTGCAAGCAAAAAAAATTAAACTTTTTCTACTTTGAAATTTATTTTCTTTGGACTTTTTCATAGGGAAATACTTTAAAATACGAAACATTTGTGCGGCCGATTTGATCCTTTTGCATTGATTTCACTTGTAAAGATGTGATACTTTTAATAGATAAGCAGGTTGACACGTACGTACTTTGACGTTTGTCATCCCTATATGGTTTAAAATGACATTTTACAAATGAACGCAGTAATGGTATTCAATATGATGTCTACTTTTTCAAAACGTAATCATAAGCTAAAAATTATTGTGCAATGCTAATATAATACAAGCAATTATGACGTCACATCTAGAATAATTATTTAAAAATACATCAAACCAACATTGGTTTTGTCATTAAAATACCCCTGGATGTTGATGGCATCTATAAGCCAGCATAAGAACTTTTTTATTTTGTTCAAATACAAAACATGTTTTCAAAAGCAACAACTCTAAATAATTGGATCACACAATAACATTCAAAACTCTTTCACTGTGCAGTAAAAAAAAAAACATACTTTTTAAATGTTGAATAAATTACAAATTTTGTATCATTGAAAATAACAAAAAAAAAAAAAAAAAAAAAAAAAAAAAAAAAAAAAATAAATATATAAATAAATCGTTATTAAACATTTTTGCCTATCAAAATTGGTGGTGGAATTATAATGGCTGCACATGCAATCGAATTGGAGATTTTAATGCCAGTATAACGAAATGTTTTGATAATATGAAGGGAAATGGTGATAATTTAGTACTTGCTTTTATGCCACAGAATGATGCATTAAATGCTTTGCACAATCCAAAAAAGTAAGCAATTGTTAAAGATTAAAGAAGAAAGTACGTTATGTATCAAAATTGGCCCTGTCCCCAAAATGACGAAGAATTTTTTGAAGCATGTCTAAGATGTCCTCTTTTTAATTCAGCTTAATTTTTGTAATTATCTCAAATCAATTTTCCTACAAAGCTATCTGAATATAGATCGTTTCTTTGGAAAATAACACTAAGACGTTATGACGTCAACCTAGCGACGCTAGACAATTCAGTGTGAAAATAATGGCCTAACCCTTTGTATGAAAAACGTCAATCAACATTGGACTTAATGATAGATTATATTTGCCTACAAGGTCATTGTATCGACCATAAAATTTGCGAACTGATGACGCTCAACGAGAGTTTATATCCTTGTTTCATCAACATATTTTTCAATAGCTTGCCTCATTTATAAATTGTTCGTACGTAGATCATGTTCTTGTTTATCGAATGAACTCGAAGACATAAACTCCATATGCAGGTGATAATGGTATATTGTTACATAAATAAGGGAAGTTGACGATAGAAAATTAAAGCTGAATTCATCATGTTTATCATAAAGTCTTGTTGTTAGATTACCCTTTTTTAGTCCTTTTCTAGTAAAATATCAAAATATGAAACAGATGTGTCAAACTCTTTGGTATCTTTTATTTAGAGTTCAAAGGGATACATATATATCTAATCAACGTAGGAATGAAAATGAAAATTGTTTATTGATAAAACGTCGTCGATATACTAGTATCTAAATGTTGAATTGAAAACCACAGTAAATGATTTTTCCTTTTCATGTACAAGTTTTTTGAATAAATTCTGCTTCATATGCATTCAAAAATAAGTCTGGTAATAACGGAGCACTATTAATACCCATGGAAATAACGATAGATTGTTGGAAGACTTGATCTCTAAAAACTTCATAGATATTGTCAATCAGGAATTCAAGCATCTTTTAAATATCAACGTCGGAGTATTTGTGTGTACAATCAGAATGTTTTTAGCAAAATGATTTTGCAAATGACCAACGACAAAGTAAGTAAATTTACAAGTTCCATTTTTATTGAAAAGCAGCTGTCTCTGATGTCAAAATGCCTGGACTTTAATTTATCGTGTGGAAAGGTTGTATAACGTGTTGAAAAGTCGAACGTTTTGACGTTATTGATTTTGGTAAAATATAATTTGATGTGAGTTAAGCATGTAAACAGATTGTGACTTAAAATCGAGTTGAAGTAATTAATCATTCAACGTCACAAAAATATATTTGACACATGTATGACCTTGCTTTACATAATTTGCTAATTTTAATTTGTACTTACAATAAATGTTTATTGATTCAACAATTTTACAACGCAAAAGCTGGTAAATCAATATTAGTTCCTGTTTTAATTTCATAATAACTATAAAAAGGTTGAACACGTGTATCTGTTTAAACTCCTTCATACAAGCGTCACGCTCTATTTACTGAACGCACGTAATAGGGTTGAGTGAACTGGGGAAGGGAACTAAATAAAATTGGATGGCATATAGATTACTTTCCTTTCCTGATTCACTTTCATCAAGAGACTAGTCTTCAAAATAAAGGTAATCCCTTTAATTATTTTTGGTTGAGTTATAATTGATGAAGAAATCAACTTCTTTATCTTAATCAAGAATAAAAAGTTTGAACAAGATTGAACGTAAGAATATATTTTTACATAAAGTACACAAAAATATGAACGATTTTCAAAGTACAAGAGCAGACGAACATGTCCCACTTGATGCTCTACTAACAGCCTGTCTATTCATCGAGAGGTAAATTTATTCAAGTTGTAATGTCGATCGATTTACATTATGTCCTTTTTCCGAGCAAGTCGGCCGTTGAACTATTTTCAACGGATGTTGACGTCTGAAAGAAAGTCATTCCATTTTTTACGAACTAGGTTTTTCTGTTGAAAAACATTGACAACGTACGTCTTATTTTTCCGAGGTAATGTAAAACGTACTTCTAATTTCAGATTTCTGAAATATTTTATATTGTTCTTAAGGCAATATTTTAACTTTCTCTACCATAGTCTGCTTTATTCGAAGGTCAGATTTTAATATGTTGACAGGCTTTAATATTAAATGAATGTGTATGCAAAAATATAATTGACAGGTAAAACAAGAACCTTCATTAAGACCTGTAACCTCTTTGTTTGTTGATAACGATAACTCGTAAAGGAAAAATATTTTAACATCATAAAATAAAGTTTATGAATGTGGTTTAATGAATCAAACTTTGTATGCATGTAAATTATGACAATTTTAAATATCAAGAATGCTCAGCATTTCTTTAGCAATAATATGTAAATTCCATGCCAGGCCTAATGTATTTCTTTTGTTAATAAGGAATTTGCAAAATTGTCATCTCCACATTGCTTCCTCTGCGTTAATATCTGAGTCGACTGTGTGCAGGATTTAAAGGAAAGTTACTAAGCTTATATCTTTTATTGTCTCTTTTGACTAATAATGTTTGCCGTCTTAGCTTAGCTGTGCAGTTTTTTGTTATGTAGAATAGGGGGGGGGGGGGGGCACAGTTCAACGCAATACAGGCAAAACATCGAATACAGTTTTTGCACAGGATACAGAGTCAGTTAGAGAGTGATGGACTGTGGAATATGTTGTCCACGCTAAACTTTTAAAGCAGGAATTAGAATTGTAGGGAAATTTTAATTTAAAAGCCCTCTTTTTATCAGTATTGACAGTATCACGAAAATTAAATCACAGTTGAACTTAGTTGATAAACTCTAAGACTGTATGAACTTGACAGCCTGATGGTCAATATATAGGGCAATCTAGGATCTAGAATCCATTTTTTCAGAATTTGAATGTTATTGACTAAATTTTACCTAGTTTATTCTCCGCCGCCTTCGTCAGCTAATTGTTTCTGATTTACTCCACTCCTCACAATCAGTGTTTTAGAGGAGTGGAGCGGATGAGAATCACTCAGTGAAAATGTTTTTAAATTAGGAGACAAAAAGATATGCTATTATTATTTTTTTCATTTTCTGAAGATTTGCTCTCGTTCAAATCTTTAAAGTTCTAAGTAATATTTTGCATTTTCACAGACATTATATTTTCAAAATATTTTGTAAATTTGTGAAAACATCATTTGTGATAATAATTGTCATTATGTTTTGTGTATTTGCCTTCTTTACAAAGATATTCATATCCTTTTGTAAGAACAAAGTAATTTTAAAATAACAAAAAATGAAATAATGACACTTATTATTCACATGAAACTACACACAGCTTTTTCATAATTTTTCGCTTAGAAATAGATAAGGAAAAGAAACAACCTTAGCCTAGATATATTAACAATATGAAAGCATTTGCAAAATGCGTTTTTACGTTGGATTTCTTATATAAAGACAAAGAAGAAACCAAAATCTTAACTAGAAACATTAACAATATTATCATGATTAAAGCATTTACAAAAATACTGCATTTAGTTGAAAGTAACATTGAAAGTTTTCATTTCAATAAAACCATTGTTGACAATGGTTTTCTTCGAGTGGAAATTTTTCAATCTTACCTTCAACTGCATGCAGTTTTTATTATATTTTATTTTATCCTGCAACTGCCCCTTGTATTGACCTAATAGAGGTAACCTAATAAACCAAAGCTTTATTCGGTCAATGCCCTAATAAAGCCTCGTGCACGTATTCCAACGTTCTAAAAGCATTGTGACGTCATGAATATTGCAATGTTTACGCCATGGCGTCTTAGTTTTAACTGCAGAGATGTACCTAAATCGGTTGAAAACAGCTCGTTTTGGAGGTCCTGTAAAAATGTGTTGCAGGATAAACAAAATACACGGAGACTGTCTTGAAATATAAGCGATATTTGGGCTCGGGTCGAAAACGTGATAGGGGCTCGGCAAGCCTCGCCCTCTATCACGTTTTCTTACTCTTGCCCAAATATCGCTTATATTTCAAGACAGTAACCATGTATTTTATATATATAGCTAATAAATAGTATATAATTAAAAACTACCAAAAGTCTAGAGAATTTTAGCGTTCAATATCTTGGCGTTTTATTGAACGCTGAGTTTGTACGAGGTATTACGTATATGAGTATGCCCGAAACATTCCGAATACGAGCGTTCAATATCGAACGCCCCGTTGTAAACAAAAAATGTCGTCTGGTCAACCTCTCAAAGGCAAATTTATGGTAGGTAGTGGCACTTAGGTAAGATATGTTTATTTTTACGCAAAACTGAAATAACTGTTTAATAATTTGAGGTTTTGCCAAAGGTCAAGATGTTCAAAAATTAATTTTTACAATAGCTCCAAAACTATGTGAGGTATAAAGTTAAAACTTTTACAGTTTATAAATATATCATTGTTTAACAGATAGAAAGTATCATTTGAAAATAAATATTTAAAAAAATATATTTTTTAAGGAAAAAAATTTCAAAAAAATTGCATATTTTAAAAAAATGCAACTGCTTAATTCTGTACTTTTAGTGAAAACCATCATTGCAGAAATAATATATGTATATCAATGAAGGGCAAGTTGGACGTGAATGGTCTCTGAAAGGCTGTTATTGAAAGCATGACATGTATAAAGACAAGACCCTTATAAAATCAGCCATTTGCAATGTACTTTCGGTTTCAAATCTAAACATTTGGATTAAATAAACAGGGAAAACAACTTTCCAACTTGCCCTTCATTGATAAACATATATTGTTTCTGCAATGATGGCTTTCACAAAAAGTACGGAATTAATTAGGTGTATTTTTTGAAAATATATGCATTTTTTTAAAAGAATTTTTCTCAATAATTTTTTTTAAAGTATTTGTTATCAAGTGATACTTTCTATCTGTTAATCAATGATATATTTATAAACTGTAAAAGTTTTTACTTTATAAACCACATAGTTTTGGAGCTATTGTAAAAATAAATTTTTGGACATGTTGACCTTTGGCAAAACCTTAATAAGTAATAGCCTTAATAAAAGCTCAATGTGCATACTGTATATGTACTTAAAAAAGCGGCTTTGGCGCAGACAACGATGCGCTAATTCATGAATACCGCCAAGAAATCATTTATAAATACAATATACGACACGAACATGTGTAGCGCTAATTCATGATTTCGCCAACAGCTCCATATCCAGTGATTGCACTAAATTTTGAATACGCCAGCTGATGTACACGTACAGTATCATAACGCTTGGTAGGGTTATTGGAATGATGCGATATTAAACACTTACAGGACAAACGTTAATTTAACGACGACGGACCTAATTCATTTCTGCAATAGATTTTTTATTCAAATTTTAATATAAGGTAAAGTGAATTTTGGTGAGTTAAAATCAATAAAAAAGTCATATGGTCATCGATGTAGATTTTTAATGGGGAGCGTTTCTAAAGTTGGCAATGGAAATCCATAATTACTATAGGAAGTAACGGGAAATTACCAGTGTTGGGTATAAGAGTGATCATTGAAAAAAATTCTGCAATAGAATTTTTATTCATATTTAAGGACAATGTTAACAAGACAATTTACCAGCAAATTATGCCAAAAAATTAATGGGTCTTTGGCTTAGATTTTTCAGGGGGCATGTCAAACTCAGGTGTAGGGCACATTTTAGGGGAAATTTTTAATGAAAATACCTTGGCCAAATAAATCATTTATTTATAAAACCAACAAATGAATATAAATTGAAATATTTACAATATTTTTGAATTGAGAGAAAACGTTTGAATATCTTTAAAAGAATTAAAAATGTATATTTTTTATCTTTTGCAATACATAATTAAGTCAATTTGATTCAAGGCATATGCGCAGTTTTCTGCGCAGTGGCATGAAATTTTGAATTAGGTCCGTCGTCCTTAAATAATGATACTGAAAATTCGTATTAATTTGAGTTATTTTGTTGAAATAATTAATATAAATAAATGGGAGATGTTTTAGCTATATAATAAAGGAGTTATTGAACTTATATTTGGTGAATATTGGCACTCGTTGGATGTACAAATGCATTCACAAGCTCGTGCATTTGTACAGCCAACTCCTGCCAATATTCACCAATATAAGTTCAATAACCCTATAATACCGAATGTCTTTTGCAAATACAAATAAATGTGAAGTGCACGCGCATAGTTTCCGCGCAGTCAATATTTTTCTTTTGGAAAAATCACCCGTCGTCAAGCAATGTTGACTGTTGCTAAGTTCTATCGCGCTGGAGGACGTGGGTTCATCATTCAAAGGGTGAACAGTGTTTTTTAACAAATGTTTCTCGACGAACCAAATTCAAGTTATTTACTTGAAAGCAGCTGTTTTCTCACAGAAAGACAAATAATTAATAGATAGCCAAACATGTGAATAAACACACCAAATTCTACAATATTTCATATATATTCATTGACGAAAAGGCCATGCATTCAAACGGCAGTATTTCAATGAAATGATAGGAATCGATAGTACTTCAACGAAATAAATTATTTTTCTGACGAAAGCAACATCTTCAAAGAGTTCTGAAAACCACTGGCTTAATGAATCTGTGTAGATCGTGATTACTGGACTCGTTGATAAAATCCAGACATAGTCTAGAGAATCGCCTTGATTAAATGAGTTGTTTTTTGTCTTTGAAATCAGGCTGGGGTTGTCTGCTCAGGTAATCTAGATTTAGGGCAAGATAAACAGCGATGTATCTAGTGTAGTTTTCACCTTTCCTGTATTTTCTGTATCCCTTTAATTGCAACAATGCTATTTTGAGTCATTTTGACGCAGTATCCAATATAAATTGGAAGAAAAGACTGGATTTTTCCGATACTTTTCATGCTTTTGTTGCAGGGAAAATGACTCTTTGTCTGACTGGAAAGACAGCTCTTGTAACGGGATCCACTGGAAAGCTAGGTAGAACTGTTATCAAGGATTTAGTCCAAGCCGGATGTTTCATTATAGCAACAGACCGTGTCCCTAGATATTCTGTTGATGATCTCTTCGAGGAAATGAATGCTGTGTAGGTATTGCATGTACTGACTTAATGAATGATCTGTATATTTTTCAAAGAAGGACTGATCTATTTTAATAATTTTATTAGGCTCATTAGCTTTACGTTTTGTATCATGAATTAATTGCAGTCTGCAAAGCTGTGAATGTGAAATGTATAATTATAATAAATGTGTAATGATTATAAAGAATATTAGCAAGTTTACTTTAACCCATTGATGATTGATGAACACTTGAAAATCACAGAAATTATAATGACTTTTTGTCTGTGTATAGAATTATTCTATTAAACATATTCTGAAAAATTGTGAATACTTTAACCAGAGAATTAATTTATATATAAAATTATTTTGATGTGAATGTTTAAAAAGATTTTCTCAAGAAAATTGGATAGTCAAAAAGTTATGGAAATCTGTAAAACAGTTTGTGCACGCTTAATTACTGATAAACACATATTTATCATGAAATTTCCCAATCAAACCAGCATTTTTTCAACCTCCTCAAATCTATACTTTAATATCTTTTTTGAAATTCTCATGAAAAAAGAAAATTTAAAAAAAAAAAAAAAAAAAAAAAAAAAAAAAAAATATATATATATATATATATATATATATATATATATATATATATATATATATATATATATATATATATATATACACTGCAGTATATATATATATATATATATATATATATATATATATATATATTCCCAAAAAAATACAATTTTTCTACGATTAAAAAAATAATTTGAAACTAAAAGAGTTATTTCAAATTCCACTTTTTGAAGATTTTGGGTTCCATATGACCTTTTAAGAAAGTTAAAGTTTATAAAGATCTCATGGATTTTTTTTTTTTTTTTTTTTTTTTTTTTTTATAAAAAGTCCAGAAATGCATGAACCACGTGAGGCATCCTTCCAACAAGTGGGTGAAACATACATAACGATTACTTATACATATAGTGTGCTTCTAGTACGGGAATTTTGAATTAAAATGTTTAGAAAAAGTTTTTTAAAAAAGTATTTTCCGTCATATTTTTCTTTATCGTGTAACTCAATTAGGAGACAATCAATACTCTGGATTTCTTGATTCTTACTTTGTTATATTAATTTATAAAAAAGCCTTCACATTTCCTTAAACGTGTATGGAATAGGAATCCTAATTCTTAACTGTTTGTGTCTTTCTGATTAATTTCTACTTGGTTTAATACTTTTTTTGCATGTTTGGAATCAAACGAACTGTTCTTTTTCAAATTACCTTCACAACATTGACTTTTCATTTCATAAATTATTCTCAAGCAACTTAAAACAAGAGAAAGAACACGCTCTATTCTGATACATGTACATTGTATAACGCTGCAAAATTCCAAGCATTTCACATTTCATGCATTTGTCAAATTGCATGTGTCAAATGCATAGTGTAATAAGACCTAAGAAATGAAATGTGTACAATGTCTGTTTTTTTTTTGTTTTTTTTTTTTTGTTTTTTGCAAAGGAACATATAATAAACTCAAAATAATCATCGAGTGGTTTTTAACATTTTATGGTTTAAATGTGACCATATGCTATGATATGAAATTAAAACAGGATTATATTTTTAGGTACATCGCATCATAAAATATTTAACACTCCAGAATTTATATAGTCTAAGACGCGATATTTAAAAGAACCAAGAGGGGGAACTGAAGAATTGAAAGATAATTCAAAGATGTAAGAAACTCATGAAAAAAACCTTTCAATTGAGAAAACCGCATAAATTTCGGTTCTGCAGCAATTTTTTCATTGCATCTGTTTATTATCTTGAAAAGTGAAAAGCAAAATGCTGCTTTGCTAAATTAAAATATTAGCAGTTTTTTCTGCAGCATTTTAAGATTATTTTGGCTATCCATTTATTACAAAAACATTACAATTTTTCGCAATATATTTACATCCACTGAATATCATTTCCTCTATTTCTCAAGAGAACCATCAGTCAGTAAACAACACAAAGCATATCACCTCTACAGCAGTGGCTCTGTCATCAATGAAATATACAATGACGTAAATATCAATAATACAATATTTAATCTACTTAATCCTACTTTAAATGCTAATTTGTACAGATATAAATATAAACAATAAAATGTCTTTCTTTGTTAGTACGGGAATTAATGTTGCAGCTATTACAGAAAAAATACATAGCCCACTTACGCGAGTTATACATTTTATTTGCAACAATAAAAGAAAGCATTTTATTGTTCAAATTTAACATTTTCATATCTCTGAACTACGTCTGATAATGAACTACTAGTATTTGCCACTTCGAATTTATTCTTACCTAGCAAGTTTCTCAAGATCCTAAAAGATCACGGATAATGTGGCAGTTGAACTTAACGTTTGTTTGGTACAAGCAGTGGAGGCCTAAAATGGAATAATGAATTGCTAGATTATAGGTCTTCTATTGAGTAATTAATGCCTTTTGAGCTTAAAAAATTATGTGACTAAAATTATGAAAATCATTACAATACCTTAAAAAAAATTACGCTTTTATCGGGTGTCAGTAAATACAAATAAATTTATATTAACTGCCACCCGTTAAATTCAAATTTACAACATGACGAATTAATTTAATAACTATACTCAAGTTATGTTATATAATAAGGGTTACGGCAGTTTCCGCTGTATAAATCGCAAAGTGGCATATATAAAAATGAGTAAACTGTTCCAATGTAGGTTAAACAAAGGCACGTAGAATCAGGTGTGGATGGTCTGCCCCCTCCTTCCACCTCTTTTTTTTTTAATCATAATGGCTTTCTGTTAATGTACATTGAAAGAGCGTCCCCTACTATTCTTTCTATCTTTTTTGTATAGTCAAATCTTCTTATGTTAACGTATTCTAAAAAAAAATTCCTTGTCAATGAAGTTGGGAAGATAAAGAAAACGGTCAATCGGTTCTCGATCACTTTTTTCTGCTTTGAGTAAAATATAAACTACTTCAACATCCAAATCAAACCTGGCTTATACGGAGAGGGCATTTAAATAGTTTGTACAGTAAAACTCGTTTAGTACGAACACGGATATTGCGAATTCACGGATATAGCGAAGTTGTCTTGGATCCCCATCTATATAAATTTACGAATTCCTTAAACGGATATAACGAATTACGTATATAGCGAAGTAATTTCACAGGTCCCAGTGACTTCGTTATAACCGAGTTTTACTGTATATGTTGTGCATGTGCTACATGTATATGCAAACAAGTTAGTAATATCCTTACAAGGAGATATACTGTACTAGATTTCGGACACATTAATATAAATGGATTTTTCCCTGATTACATCATCGCATAGAATCTCATTCAACTATTTAAATGAAGCAAATAGTAAAGAAATAGAACAAAATAAAAAAGGCGGCATATTCACCAAACAACTGGAAGGGAAAGACGTAGACTGTAAACTTATGTCATCCGTTAACATGGTGTATTCTATTGGAGTGATATGGTTAAAAACTGTCAAAACTAAAAGCTTAGTAATTGTATCTTAGAGTTTATTATGCATATAATATTTCTGAGAAATGTTGGTGAGATCTGATAGACTTTACGAGAACTTGAGATTTGTTTGTAGAAATCTGATTTTAGTAAATTTTAAGTCCTTGATTTTTCAGCAAATACTGCATGGGGAATCAAGGACTTCTATCTTCTACAGCAAAAACAATAGAACTTGATGAAATGAAATGACTCAATTCAGTTAATTTCATAGACGTTTTATTTATTATGTGAAAAGGGTGAAGATAACGAATAGCGATCGATCTCAAAAATCTACAAACAATACAGATCTGTGAACAGGGCATAAAACACGGACCCCCAGAAATTTCAGAGGTGGGATCAGCCGGCTAGGAGAAGTAAGCGTGCCCTGTTTACCAGTCAAACCCTTCGAGAGCCGTATGTATTGATCAGGTAGACGGAACATTCCGTAGTCAAATTTGGTATAAAACAATGACCTAACACATCAGCCAAAATACGACACAATGATAGGATATTCATCGTATTTCTTAACAAGGTCATTTAACGTTGTTGAAATCCCTGTAACATGCCTGTCTGACACGACCTTTGACCATGGTATTTTATTTTCCATTATGCCATTAAATCTGCATTAACAATTTCCCCTTATTTCTTTTTGATAATTATATAATCATTTTGTGCACTTTATAGATGTTTGTGAAAGTTATTTTTAATTTTATTTCTAGATGCAAATGTCTACTCTACTTTAATTTGTGTCTTATAGAAGAATGAAATAAATATTTTTGCTTTTAATCTGTAGTTCAGATATGTTGTGCATCATATCAACCAGCATCAAGCAATCACATATGTGTATATAACTCTGTAAATATATTCCAGTGAAAAATAGCTCAATACTAAAGGTTATTTGTAGTGGAAAATGTTATTTGAAACACAATCAAATAAATATGAGTTTCATTTATACAATGACCTTATCAGCAAATACAATCTATCATTAGGTCAAATTGCTGTCGACGTTTTTTAGCTCACCTGAGCTGAAAGCTCAAGTGAGCTTTTCTGATCACATTTTGTCTGTAGTCCGTCTGTCCGTCTGTCTGTAAACTTTTTACATTTTCGACTTCTTCTCCAGAACCACTGGGTCAATTTCAACCAAACTCACCACAAAGCATCCTTGGGTGAAGGAGATTCAAGTTTGTTCAAATGAAGGGCCATGTCCTCTTCCAAGGGGAGATAATTAAGAGTTGGTGAAAATTTGGTGTCATCTTTTAAAATCTTCTTCTCAATAACCATTGGGCCGGAAAAGTTGAAACTTATGTGAAACCTTCATTACATAGTGTAGATTTAATTTTGTTCAAATCATGACTCCGGGGGGTAGGGTGGGGCCACAATGGGCGATCAAAGTTTTACATAGGAATATATACGAAAAATCTTTTAAAATCTTCTTCTCAAGAACAACAAAGCCACGATTAGTCATATTGATGTGGAATCATCCTCAGGTAGTGTAGATTCAAATTTGTTATAATCATGACCCCTGGGGGTAGGATGGGGCCATAATGGGGGATCCAAGTTTTACATAGGAATATATACGAAAAATCTTTAAAAATCTTCTTCTCAAGAATAACAAACCCACGATTAGTCATATTGATGTGGAATCATCCTCAGGTATTGTAGATTCAAGTTTGTTCAAATCATGACCCCCGGGGGTATGGTGGGGCCACAATGGGGCATCCAAGTTTTACATAGGAATATATAGGAAAATTCTATAAAAATCTTCTTCTCAAGAACAACAAAGCCATGATAAGTCATATTGATATGGAAGGATCATCAGGTAGTGTAGATTCAAGTTTGTTCAAATTATGACCCTCCTCCCCCCCCCCCCCCCCCGGGTAGGTTGTAAGACATCTTTAAAATACAGTTTTCAAGAACAGCAAAGCCATGATTAGTTATATGAATATAGAAGCATCCTCAGAAAGTTAGGATTCAATTTCATTCAAAACATGGCATCTGGGGGTAGGGTATGGCTAGAACAGGTGATCAAAGATTTACATATGAATATATAGGAGAAGAAATAGGCTGACGAAGAACAACAGGGCCATATTGACTCAGGTGAGCGTTGTGGCCCATGGGCCTCTTGTTTTATACTATAATTGTTAGGCTATTATTTACACACTGGAATTCTTACGGATTTTTTCCGTTTGCTCGATCATGACAAGGAGCACCTGTCGACAGGGGATGCTTACTCCTCCATGGCACCTGATCACGCCTCTGATATTTTGGAGGTCCGTGTTTGCTTTCCTGGTTAGTAATATTTGAATGGCCTATTAGCTTGGATTACCGTTCGTTGTCTCCTTATTGTATTGAAGTCAACGATGTCATTGAAAACAAAACAAAAAAAATTGATGAAGTCGTGATTTATAATTTTGCTCTACGCTTGAGTTTATGACAGTTTTCATTGTATTGAAAGAAACTTCTTTAAGAATTGGAATTTTTTTTAAGATCTGGTGAAAATATGACGTACATATCTTGTGACCTGGCATCAACAGAGGATATCGAAAAGATGTTCAGGGAAATAGACAAAGAGCGTCCCGATGGCGTTGATATTTTTGTAAACATTGCAGGTAAATAAAAATTGCAAAATTATGAATAATCCCTCAAACGAAAGGTTTTCATAACATGTTTTGCAATATATAGACATATTCACATTTTTTTTTCTTAATGTCTTTAGAGTTTTTAAATAAGAAAGAAGTTTCCTTTGAATATTGTATACATGTTTATGATCTATATTTTATATTTTAATTTTATTCTGCTCCAATGAAAGTTAAGATGTTGATTCAAATAATTAAATTGCTATTTTTATTTATGCCTTAAATTACAATCGTGACTTACAACTACTTTACCGTCCTCCGTCTATCGTAACCATCTATGTTTAAATTGAATCAATTTTAACCAGATTTGATGGAAATTCTTAAGCTTTGAAAAGGGAAAAACTTTAAAACTTCGTAGTCCCTGCCTTAACCAGATTTATTGTCGTTCAAAAAACAACTGTATAAATGCAATCCATTTACGTGTCATATTGAGAAAATTATTATTGATACATCGTGAGCATGAGGTATTCTTTAGCAAATTTGTCAAATTCATATCTCATGGATTTTAAGGTTCAAGTTGGAACTAAGTTTGGTATTGTGACATAATTATAATTTAGAAATCCATAATAGTCAGGTGATCATGATCAAAACATATTCCAGAGTCTCTTGTTTAATACTAATAGTAAAATCTGATAAATATAATTAAATTGGTAACATTTATATTTTCATTTTACAGCATCATTTTGTTTTGGGTCCCTTGTAGAAGACATAACTCTGGAACAGTGGTCTAGGGAGATTTCAATTAATCTCACATCGGCATTCATGATTACACAATATATTATTTCCAAAATGAAAGATAAAGGTAAAGTTTATTGGAACATCTTATTTAAGGAATTGGTCTTGATACAATTTTTGCAAACCTCACAAATTGATATAAACTCCAATGATAAATACTCCCCTTTTTTTCAAAATAGACTTACAAAGTGAGAGCGTGTATTAAACAACGTAGCAAGTATAAGCTGTGCTTTATATACTTAAGCTGAACAAATATAATTTCTCATATAACTCATCTCTTTGAGTCAAGAACTTCTTTAAAAGGCCGATTTCTCATGTCATTGAGCATGAAATGAATACATGCTTTCACCATAGGTTGGGGACGGGTCATATACGTTTCCTCCCAGCTTGGATTAACAGCCATACCGAAAGCGGCAGCTTATATAACCTCCAAGGCCGGACTCCTGGGTCTCACACGGGTAAGTATTGTCTTATAGTTCAGGGACCCTTGGATAAGAGAAATACATGCGATTCTCATTGGGACATCTAATCAAGATTGAGGAGGTGTGTCATGAAACAGGCAAATGGGAAATTCAGACTGAAAGTTTTATTTAAATAACACAAACACACTTTTCTCCCAAAATTCAAATATCTTTGCTAAAATAGGCGCCTCACTTATTTTAGAAGAGAAATATTTGTTCATTTAAGCAGCTTAATGTTTGGCCAAGTCACATAATTTGATGAAAATTGCGAAAATGCATTTTACAGTTCAGCATATTTTTTGAAAAGTTTTAGAAATGTATAAATTTTTCTTACTGCAGAGTTTTTTGGGATATTTTCAAGAGTGTATTTTTACAATCTTAAGAAATAAAATTTCTGAATTACATTTCCTTTGAAAGAAATATTTAAAAGGATACCAGTGTAACTCTTCTGTCTGGGAGGTAAGAAAATTTGTTTGTGGTATGTATCTTTAAGACTAAGCTTTTGTTTTAGGCGGTAGCTGTGGAAGTAGCCGACAAAGGGGTGACGGTCAATGCTGTGTGTCCAGGCCCAATGGAGACTGGATGTTAGTGAACTAAGTACTGAGATCTTTCCAAATCTCCGTGCCTTATCTTTCATTTCTCATGACCAGGTCGACTCAATATCCATTCACATGCACCAAAATTTAGAACTCATTTGCCAAATATTTTTGTGGAATGTTAATGAAAATTCATAAAAATTTATTGGTTTAGAGAAAATGTGTATAGTGGTTCAGTCGCACAAGGACAAAACAAAATCTAAAAATCCAAGAGATTAATGTTGCCCACGTTGTTACAAATGGGTCTTGCAATGTATAGGAAGAATGTTAAAGACACATCATCGTAAAATTTAAGTTAAGATACATTTGATTAAAATGGAATGTTATTTGTTTTGTTATCAAGATCTCTCACTTATGTGTTCCGCGGTTTTCAATTTCGAAACGTATCCATATTCATGAAAACTTAATTCATGTACGGTTGGTGGTTACATTGAAAACGATACCTTCTGTTAACATTAGCATATTTTGCTCTATGAGTAAGGGTGACCGATTTTCGAGTATTCTGATGCAATTAGTCTGTTTACCTTCATGCAGGTATTAAAGCATTCTAATAAAAATATGTCTGAGATAGCTTTCAATCTCACTTCTACTATAATCTTGTCAATTAAACATTAAGCAACCCTTCAGTGGTATCTGCTGACGTCTCATATGACCGAAATAATCTTGTAATGAAATATATGGAGATAACGAACAGTATTCAAGCTCGAAAGTCCATTAAACAATACAAAATTTTGAAACAGAGCAAACACGGACCTCTAAAACATCAGAGGTAGGATCAGGTGCCATGGAGGAGTGAGCATCCCCTTCCGACCGGTCACACCCGCCGTGTGCTCCTTGTCATGATCGGTAATAACGGAAAAATCCGTCGAAAATTAAATGTGTAAATAATGGCCTAACAATTAGTATGAAAAACGTCAGTCAGTATTTGACTTATTGATAAATTGTATTTGCTGACAAGGTCATTGTATCGACCATATAACTAACTGACGATTTTAAACGAGACTGCTGATATTCTTGTTTCATCAACTTGTTTGTCAATAACTTACATCGTTTTAGAAATTGTTCATACGTAGAGCATGCTCTTGCGTATCGAATCAAGCGAGAAATATAAACCCCGTATGCAGGTGATAAAGGTATATTGCTGCATAAGTAAGGGACATTGACGATTGAAAAGTTAAAGGCATCACGTTTATCATAAAGTTTGGCTGTTAGATTAACGTCTTTTCCTAGTAAAATATCCAAATAGGAAACATGTGTCAGACTCTGTGGTATCTTTTAAGGGACGAAAACCTACAACAATTAATCAATCAATCAATCAATCAATCAATCATCAAGCATTCAATTATTTTGCAATTGTTTCCAATCGACGCTCATATATTCCTAGTATCTATTGTTTATATTGCTTTAATTCTACTTTTCCTTTATAACTAGTTGTTGATGATGTTGTCAAGACTCATGCAGTTGATAGGAATATATCAATTCAAGATGCTAAGGTAATTATATCTACTTTTTTAATCTGATAAAACATCAAGTTAAAAAAAAATGAAAAAAAGCTATATGACTATCTAATGAGAATTTTCATTGTCATTACTAATTAAACATCTTTTAATGTAAATTGTAAAAAAAGCATACAATATTCACAATGTTATTTATAATACTTTATTCATAAATGCACGAAGAGTTAATTCCTTGTCTATTTCAGCAACTAGTACAGACATACCTGCCCACTAAGCGTTTTTCTAGTGCCACGCAAGTAAGATATACTATATAGGACTTTCTTTATCCTGTTATTATATAAAAAAATGAAACAAGCTAAATGTATTTGATTGGATAGAAAGAAATTATTATTATTATTAATATATTATTATATATCCATCTGTTTAGTATTTGGATTTTTTTACTGACTATAGATGATAAGGACCAACAAACAACTAAACTTTATGACAAACGAGATGACTTCAGCTTTTCCATCGTCAACTTTCCTTTTATAGTAATGTTCCACTATCACCTGCATATGGTGTTTATGTCTCCCAACTTAATTAATGTTCAAAAGCATGAGCCGAGTACGATAAATTTTTAAACAGAAGCAGGCTACTGACAAATATATTGATGTTTTAGGGATTTCAAAGACCTCGTTTAATATCAACATTTCGTATGTTCTATGGTCGTTATAATGACCATGTTGGCAAATACAACCTATCACTGGGTTGTATTTTGACTGACATACATTTGTTTTTCATACCAATTGTTAGTCCTTTGTTTTGATACTAAATTTTACTACGGTTTACTCGGTCTACCTGATCAATATATAGGACTCACGGCGGGTGTGACTACCTGATCAATACATAGGACTCACGGCGGGTGTGACTACCTGATCAATACATAGGACTCACAGCAGGCGTGACTACCTGATCAATACATAGGACTCACAGCAGGTGTGACTACCTGATCAATACATAGGAATCACGGCGGGTCTGACTACCTGATCAATATATAGGACTCACGGCGGGTCTAACTACCTGATCAATACATAGGACTCACAGCAGGTGTGACTACCTGATCAATATATAGGACTTACGGCGGGTCTGACTACCTGATCAATACATAGGACTCACGGCGGGTCTGACTACCTGATCAATACATAGGACTCACGGCGGGTCTGACCGGTCTACAGGGGGTGGTCGCTCTCCCTAGGCACCTTATCTCAACTCTGGAATTTATAGGGGTCCGGGTTTTATGCCCTGTTCACAGATTTGTATCGTTTATAGTTTTTTTTAAGACCGATACTGTTCATTATCTTCGTCTATTTCATTCTATATAATGAAATAATGTAAATACATATAGAGAGTGCAGTGCAGAAACTGAAAACAGGAATAGATATATGCCTCAACAGCTTGAAAGATTCATTCTGTTAAATAAACTGTAAAAAAAAATTCTATGTAGAGAAAGTTTATGAATAGTGTTTTTCTGTTTGTTTTTTTTTTTGGTAGATATCATCATTCATTTTATACCTGTGTTCACCTGGAGCAGACAACATGACTGGAACGTCTACTTCAATGGATGGAGGTGTGAATGCTATGTGAAAATGACTACATTTCATCAACACTTTTTAAAGATAATTTCCGGTGAATTACATTGACTTTCAATTTTAAAAATATCAATGCTCACAAATCCTATGATGCGTTTTATGAGGAAGTGACTTTCGTACATTTAATGTATATATTCTTTTAGGACGATGAATTTTGGAGTTGATGCTATAGTGGAAACAAATCATTTCATTGTTTAAGGATAATTGTCTTGTAATGAGTGAATGAAAAAAAAACCCTGCACATTTTTGAAAGATTTGAATGTTTAATAAAATAAAATAGATTTTATAAAAAGAGTATAACTAATTTTAATATAAGGCTACTTGCTTCATCAAATAATGTAAGAAAATGTTTCAGATGCTGGTATCAGTTACTGAAATTTATTTTTATGCGACTTTATGCATCACATGCAAGCATCGTATTCACACATGGGATTTTAAAATATATATTAATATACAACTATTTTCCATAAAAAATGAGAAAATACTTTGAAAATGAATTGAAATGCATTTTCAGAATACAAAGGTAATTCACTCACCTTGATGTCTTATCTCCATATTCAAGGAATGATCGATTTCAGAGGGGTATAAAGTTTTGTATTTTGCATACAATTCATGTTTTGTTACTCGAGAGACAACTTTAAGGACATACGCAACGTAGTTTGAACTTTACTGTCTTTTTCCTTGGAGTTGAAGAGTTCCAATACTTAAAGGAACTGTGTGCTACATTTTAATGTCTATATATGCTATTGTACACTTCTTCTAAAACAAGTTTGGATAAACAAAACATCTAGAATGTATGTTTAGTAATTTTTGTATATTTTTCTTTGAATTATACAAGAATTTTCATCAATTGATATCTCTTCAAAACCCCTGGTAATGCATGCTGATTTTTTGTCTACGAACATTTGGTGGCACTATAATCTTAAATTAAGAATATCTCGAAAAATTATCAGTAGGTAAGGTACGTTGCGTGTGTCCTTAAATGATCTTTATTTGGCTCGCACATTGTCATCTGCAAAAAAATATCATAAAGAATCCAAATTTCATTTAAGAAAGTGAAACTAATGTATTCTTGTTATTAACCGAGAATCAATAAGCGCATGAGCGAAGGGAGGTGTTTTATCATCTCGAGCGAAATATTCTTTGGAAAACGACATACATTTAATAGATTGTAAAATTGTTTGATTGAATAATTTTATCTCTGGTTGGCTGAGATCTGACATTATAGAAATAAAACTACTTATGTTTACCTGCACGTGACCTTCCAGGTGAACATAAGAATTTAATTTATCTACATTGGATTATAAATAGATCGGCGAATTTCAAATTGGTACAGAGAGTTTTGGAAAGCTATTTCACTTGCACCAGAATTCCACTCAGGTGAACATTACATTCAGGTATATAAAACGATGAATGGGGGATGTCGAGCTCCAGCCCCCTCCCCATACATTTATTAATGTAAATTTTTACTTTTAATTTAGCATAAAAATGAATGTTCATTGAAAAGCTGTCCCCCTGCTAATGCACCCCACCCAAAAATAAAATTTTGAGTGGGAGAATTTTCTTCTTTTTGGGAGGATAGTCAAAATATTTTTCCTTGTAATGCCCCCTTTCAAAATTAATCCTATATATTATTTATCATTAAAAAATTATTGCTGATTTTGATATTAGCCACCTTCGAAGTACAATATTCGCTTCGCCTTCGGGTTCAGTGAATATCATTTATCATACTCAGGTTGCTAAATCATCGTATTGACCACAAAACGGCAATAATTGTATAATATCATAACAGCATTAAGTCCTTATTAAAGAAGGGATCTGATCTACACCCACATCTACCCTATTTATTCTTCGTCTAGCCCTTCTGATAGGAACAGTGACAGGACCAGTAGTGTACACAGCATTGTGCTATCAGGAACTACTTGTAAATCGCATTACCATAGGTACCACCAAAAAAAGGAACCCGCATCCCTTAAACAATTGCTTATTTACCAAGGTCAGAATCAAGCAAAGTATTTCATCCCATCCTAATTAAATCATATTTCAGAATGATAGAGGCATGCTGAGAGGTCTTTTTCTTCATAAAGTAGGCATTATTGCTAAGGAACAACCAGTATTTAACATTACTAGTGTTTGAATGGGAAAAAGTTAAACTGAAATGAAACAGGAACTTTTATAAAGAATTTTTCTACATGCAGCACAGAGAAATAAATATGTTGAGGAAACTTGCAACAGCAGGTAATGGAAGGACAATACACATTTCTATTCATAAAGGCCATTTCAATTGCCCAGACATCAATAGAGTATACATAGCGGAGATCCAAATGATACCTACAGCAGATGTTAACATATTATTAATATATTATAACATATCCATCTGTAAACGTGAACATCGTTTTAACAGACATTCTGTAAACAAACAACCGGGGGGAATATTAAAGGAATGACAATAAACCATTTTGGACAGAAACAGAAGTTCAATGATGTTTCGCCACTTAAAGATTGAGGGAAGTTATTTCGTGACAGCACATTGTAGATATACTATAGACACCTTCGAAAAACAACAAAAAGTCAATAGTATTGGGATCTGACAACGTCTCTAAATAGTGTCCAAAATGCGTACACACACGGCCTTACATTTATCATCACATGCATCTTCAAATGATCATTAGCAACCGTCTGCCTTTCTATACGCAACAAATGTAGCGCCGATCTTCAAGTAAGGGTACAATTCCAAAGAAAGTAAAGATATATGTTCTATTAAAAAAAGAGCAGTGATCAAAACATAAATCCAGTAAGAATACGAATCGTGAACAGGACAAAACACCAAAGGGATCAGGTGCCTAGGAGGAGTAAGCACAACCCAGATCATAATATATGCTCATTTTTGGCTTCTGTTTTCTTTTGCAGATATCCCGAGGAAGAGAAATTCACGTGTTTGGTTGACGATTTCCATTGGTCTTCTAAATCTTTACTGTTTGAGGCTATCGCTAGCTTTAATTCAGTTAAGAAATTCATTATTCCTCTACATCTGTTTAAGAACATGATAAATTGTCGATGATTGATATATTTGAAGGGATGTTTAAAAAAAGGTTACAATAATTGGCAGTTTCTTTCCTGGCTTTATTAGCCAATGCACAAGACGAGGTGTTAATGTAATCGAATAACATTGATATACAATGATAAATGGGTACACTGAATTGCAATGAGCAGGATTCAAAAGAGCATGCAATTATCTTCATCAACTTTTTCAACAGTGTATGATATAGAAATCTCGTGGCAAGGTGTTGGCAGAAGTATTTCATACAAATTGTTTGGCCATTAATTTCACAATGAATTGTTTACGGATTTTTTTTTCGTTTGTCCATGAAAAGGAGCACACGTCGGGTGTGACCGGTCGACAGGGATGCTTACTCCTTCATGGTAACTGATCCCATCTCTAATGTTTTAAAGGGTCCGTGTTTTCCCTGCTTCAAATTTGTATCAGTTCAATGGACTTTTGAGCGTGATTACTGTTTCAGATCCTCTTTTCTCATGGAAAATTATTAAATTATAAAATTGGGAGGGAGGGTGGTATATTAACTTTAAAGATTAGAATCAGAAAGCAAAGGAAGAGTCGTACACGCGTACGTTACGGATGTGGGTAAACTTAGGATGAAATTATGTTTTCAAGAAATAGAGTTATCTTTCGTAGCCAATTTATCTATTTAGCTCCATAACGAAACTTAACCAATAATCAAGTTAGGTCTGATAATGTTGACAAAACGTTTATGCAGTGATTGGCAGTTTACATGTATATGATTTTATTTATCAATACATATGTCAAATCATCCATACAATATTCACTCAAGTGAATAGTAAACTGGTAAACAAGTACAATATAAAGCAATGTTAACTTGGTTACTATTGGACTTTTGCGAGAAGCACTGACTTTTACAGTCGATGGTTTACTTTGACATTCAAACCTGCCTAATGTATGGAGTTACGGAATTGATAATAGACAAGAAAACCTTAAAAGTGGTTGTAGGTATGGTGTTAGGGGCACTAACATGATTTACAGGTATGCAATCAACTCAAGAGATGATGGGAGGCAGAATTACATAATTAAAACTACCTTATTCGTGAGTGGTAGCATCTCCTTTCAATCTCATTTTCTAGAGGAATCAAATAATGAAGAAAAAACATTCCGGAAGGAAAACTTAGCAAGAGTTGGTCAATGTGGGAAGAGAGGGGGGTTGAGGGTAGGGTGGTTGCCGTTCCCTTCCTAGACAACGTAATATTTGCTTTGAAATGGCCCATTATTATTGGTTAATGAACTGTTAAGCATAATATTTATATCGCAAGAAAAAGCTTCCGTATATTGTCCTAGTGTAAAAGTAAGTCGTCGATTGTAAAAGTCAGCGCTTCTCGCAAAAGTCTATTAGCAGAAATCTATGGGGTTTCATATATATGACATACACAATGATCTTAATAGTGCAGGATGAAGAAAGCATGAAACAAAGGACATAATGACAGAAGTCCTATTATTGGTCATACATCTTGGATAATAAGGGGATGAGCAACAGGTTCCCAGCGAAATTAGGTCATAATCTGTATGTCATTAGACAAGAGCCATTAAAATAGGAATTGATATGCCAAAGGCAAGCAAATTTTGCCCATGCCATGACAAAACTGCTATTGTTAACCTTGTACACAAAGAATGTTAGTAATTACATGTGAAACAAGTTTCAAACTGGAGCTTGAGCAATATGTGAGGAAATTCTAAAACGATTTCCTTATTAATTAATAAGATTTATTTCCTTTACGAAGTAAATCCAATTATTATAGCGATAGTTACTGCTGTGCGTGAGATCCTCGCCTTAGATTTGTGCGTGTAATGCCCTGCTGTAGATGACGTTATCGCTGTTTATGTTTGACGTCACAATATGTGTTACAGTTGGATTGAGAGGTGGGTGTAGTTTGTCTCGTAGCTAAAAAAATCTATATAACTCCTAATTTTTGGAATTTTATCCTTCATTTATATCTTATTTATTAAGCACAGTGATGGTTATTTATAAATCAACAGAATTCATGTGTATAATGTATTATTTCCAAATATAAACATACTTTTAGATCTATATCGTTAGTTGTTTATCTCAACAACGGCTTTAAGATACTCAATTTGTTTTTATACATCAGAATTAAAATATATTTACATATTTTATTTCGAGAATAGGCAACCTCGACAAAAGTCGCATTCTATTGACGAAGGGGGAGGGGG